GCTAACTCTGTTTTCTCCTTTACAGATGCTGCCAGACCTGCTGAGCTTTTCCAGCAACTTTGAGAAGGATAAGTAGATTGGGTTAAATAAAGTAGGGCTGTGTAGAACACAAACACCAGAATGGACCAGCTGGACAATTTGTAAAATAATGTAATTGGTCCTTCTGTTCTTTGACCCACCACAAAAGCCATATTGGGGCCTCGCCCATTGCAATCGTAGATGTGAACCTGTATCCTAATACAATAGCCTCGATAGGCTTGAGATATAATGTTGAGAATAAATAGAAGATGTCACTGCACTTGGAGAAAGATTTTTTAAAAAAAAATTTCTGTAAAACAACTCTATCTCTGTAGTGAAGGCGCAGATTTAAAAGTAGTTACCATTTGCAGTGGGAAGTGCTGACCACACTAATGTTGAGGCTGTGTTCCCATTTAAAGTGGAGGGTTTGCTTGAGTGGATTGGGATCTCTTCAGTATCCTGCTAGCTGTAAGAGAGTCACCAAGTCTTCTCAGAGATGTGAAACAAACCGTAATAAGAGTATAGAGAGGTGGGTGGGGGACGGTGTCGGGCTTGAAAATGAAATTAGGGTGGGCAAATAGGGGTCGCAAAATACTTCTGGCTGATAGGAAAACCCCAAGGCATTTTGTATGTAATCTAGGAGTGGATGACCAGGGAAAGAATGTGACCTATTAAAGACCAAAGGGGCAATCTATACGTGGAGTAAGAGTATAGGTGAGATCTTAATTGAGTATTTCTCATCTGTATTTACAAAAGAGAAAGACATTGTAGTTGGAGATTTCAGTTGGGCTGGTGAGGTTCTGTTAAGATTAATAAGGAGGATGTATTGGATATTTTAGCAGACATAAAGATGCATAAATCCCTAGGGTCTGATGAGATGCATCCCAGGCTGCTATGGGAGGCCAGTGACAGGGGCCCTGCAGAGATATTTAATACTTCACTGGCCAAAAGTGAAGTGTATGATGACTAGAGGATAACTAATGTGGTTTTACAGGTCAGTTAGTCTGATGTCAGTGAAAGGGAAATTGTTGGAAAAAAAATTTTGAGGGACAGGATTAATCAATACTTGGAAAGGCAGGGATTGTTCAGGGATAATCAGTGTGAATTTATTGGAGGGATATACTGTCTGACTGACTGAGTTTTTCGAAAAGATGATTAAATATGTTGATGAGGGTAGTGCAATTGAAGTAGTTTGCAAGAACTTCAGTAAGGCTTTTGACAGGGTCCCCCATGGAAGGCTGGTCCAAAAGATCAGAGCCCGTGGGATCCAATGCAAATTGGCAGATTGGATCCAAAATTGGCTTGCTAATAGGAGGCCAAGGATGATGGTGGAGGATTGATTTTGTGATTGGAGCTTCTGGCCAGCTGTGTACCGCAGAGATCAGAGCTGGGACCCTTACTGTTTATTATGTACATTAATGACTTGGATGTAAATGTAAGAGGTATGATTAGTAAGTTTACTGATGACATGAAAATTGGTGATGCTGTTGATAGTGAGGAGGATGGTCTCAGGCTGCAGTCTGGTATTGATCAAATTGGGCAGAGCAATATCAGATGGAATTTAATCCTGATATGTGTGAGGTGATGCATTTTGGCAGGTCAGTAAGGGAGGGATTTACACAATGTATGGTAGGTACCTAGGAAAGTACTGAGGAACAAAGGGACCTTGGCGTACAAGCCCATAGATCCCTGAAGGGGTCAGAACAGGTAGACATGTTGGTGAAGAAGGCATAAAGGGTGCTTGCCTTCATTAGCCAGGGCATAGAACATAGGAACAAGTCTTGTTACAACTTGATAAGATATTGTTTATGCCACAGATACTTTTTGTAGTTCTGGTTGCCACACTATTGGAAAGAAGTGATTTTACTGGAGAGGAGATTCCTTGGGATGGAAAGTCTCAGTTATGAGCAGAGACCAGAAAGGCTGTTAATTTTCTCTGGTGCAGGAGAAGCTGAGGGGTATCTGATTGAGGAATATGAAATTATGAGGGGCATGGACAGAGTAGATTGTGAGAATCTTTTTCCTGTAGCAGACGTGTCTAAGACCAGAGGGCATAAGTTTAAGGTGAGCAATAAGTGGTTTAGAGGGGATCTGAAGAAAACATTTTTTAACTTGAGAGGGCGGTAGAAATATGTGCTATCGCTGTTGTTCATGTCTCTCTCTGTCTCTCGCGCACGCATACACTTATTCCTTCCCCCCCCCACCATCATAAAGAATTGATATGTATTTTTAATCTGGATTTTCATCTCTTGAGATGGGATAGTTGTGGATGATACACAATCTACATGTGGTGGCCCATTGTGTAGGACAAGTTTGGATGGACTGGTGAACTTTGTCAATTCCTTCTTTGTTAGTAGCTCAAAAATGAGAGAGATCATTAAAATGAGGGTGGTCATCTTTTATATGAACTGTCAGTCTTCAAAGAAAACTCTGAAAATTCCAAATGATGGAGCAACAAAACTATTTGGAATGGATCTCAAAACCAAGTTTGTTACTCAAGAATTAACATGAACCTTTACATTCTACTATTTAAGATATATTAGACTGAAAATGTAAAAGTTTTTCTTCTGAAAAAAGAGAAAGGAGTATAGTCATTTTCCACAGTCTTTCCTGATTGAAAAATGTACTGCCCTTTTCTGTGGGCAGGAGGCAGGATTGCTGTTAATATAGACCAATTTCCTTTAAGACTTTAGCATTAAGGTGGCCTTTGCCTGTGTCTTATGTGGATAACTGCATGTAGTGAGTTCTGTGCTAAAATCAGACCGGTGTCTGCTGGGTTTCATCTGCCTGACTCTGACCTGCATGTACCTTTCCTTAGAATGGTGGAGATGAAAGAATTCAGAAGCATTCAGCAATTAACTTTTTTAAACTTGCCTTGGTTTCTCCTGTGATGTGTGTAACAAGCTCAAGAGAGGAGGAGCCTTGTCCATTTGGCAAATGTTACATTATTCGAACAATACTGGGAAATCTCCAATCCTCTAGTCTCACTCATGTAACAATTTTACTTTACATCAATATTCAATATCAGGGAAGATACATCATATTAGATATGGAATGTGAACCTACTACTCGAGTGTGGAACACAGCAGGCCAGGCAGCATCAGAGGAGCAGGAAAGTTGACATTTCAGGTCGGGACCCTTCTTCAGAAATGGGGAGGGGGAAGGGAGCTCAGAAATAAATAGAGACAGGAGGGGTAGAGTGGGGAAGGTAGGTGGGAGGTGATAAGTGAATGCAGGTAGAGAGTGGCGGGAGAGAAGATGGACAGGTCAAGGAGGCGGGGATGAGAGGGAGGGTTGGACATGGGATGAGGCTGGGGGTGGGGAGATTTTAAAACTGGTGAAATCCACATTGAGTTGTATGACACGACCTGTAATGGCCAAAACGAAGACCAGACTAGCTCCAGGCAGCTGGCATCCCCGCTCTGGACTACCAACCGCTGACCCCGTTTCAGGGGGCCGGGTGTCCAAGGCCAAGAGCCCAAGAAAGTAGGAGAGGAGAAGAAACCCACGGGGGGGAGGAAAAGAGGGAGTCAAAAAAGGAAAAGAACGGGTGGGGGTTGTGTCATTGTGACACCTGGAAACTGGAACGGCAGTACCTCATGTTCTGCCTTGGGAGCCTACAGCCCAATGGCCTAAACGTGGATTTTACCAGTTTCAAAATCTCCCCACCCCCGGCCCCATCTGATGACCAACCCTCCCTCTCATCCCTGCCTCCTTGACCTGACACAAACTGTCTGTCTTTTCTCCCACCTCAATGACCAATCCCCACCACTCCCTACCTGCACCCACCTATCACCATCCCACCTACCTTCCCCAGCCCCAGCCCCACCCCTCCTCTCTCTCTCTCTTTATTTCCGAGCCCCCTTCCCCCCCTCCCCCATTTCTGAAGCCGTGTCCTGACTGGAAACATCGGCTTTCCTGCTCCTCTGATGCTGCCTGGCCTGCTGTATTCCTCCAGCTCCACACTGTGTTATCTCTGACTCCAGCATCTGCAGTTCTTGCTATCTCTGATACTGCTACTTTATTCACCTGTATATTCGCCAACATTTTTTATTTATTTATTCACTGGATGTGGGCGTCACTGGCTAGGCTAGCGTTTGTTGCCTATCCCCAAAGGCAGTTTAAGAGTCAACCACATTGCTGTTGGTCTGGAGTCACATGTAGGCCAGACCAGGTAAGAATGGCAGTTTCCTTCCCCAAAGACATTAGTGAATCAGATAGGTTTTTCCTGACAATGGATTCATGGTCGTCATTTTTATCGAGATTTTTATTGAATTCAGATTCCACCATCTCCGCCGTGGCGGGATTCAAACCCAGGTCCCCAGAACATTTCCTCCGGGTAATGGATTTCTGGATTAACAGTCCAGCAGTAAAACCATGAGGCCGTTGCCTCTTTTGTGACAGGAATCACTGGCTAGTGATCAGAAGCAAAGAAAATCTGTCCAGTCTAACCTGCCTATCCCCTAGGTTGCTGTGGCCAACTGTTCAGATCAAGTGGTTTCTCAGGTATGAAGAACCCAACTTGGAACCTTTTTGTCTATGCAGATGAGTGACCTACATCGTGATTATTTAAATGGAACTTCTTTGTGAAGCATTGATGGATTAACTGCAATATCAAATATCAGGTTATTGAAATCTGTTGTGATTTCATATTGCTGTTACTTGTGGATCCAAATCTATTTTACATTTCCAGTGTGGTGCAGAAATTTTCCTTTTGTTAATGGAAGTTATCAGCCTTGAACTGAAACGCTGAACCTTTTGCAGGTTTCTGGCTGGAATTATTCCCATAATTGTGTCAAAAAGCAAACTGACTGCTGTCTGTGTCTTACTGATGGGAGAGATTTCTGCATTTGCAACTAATTGTGTGTGAAGCACTTTATGATGTTTTGGGAAACCTAAATGGAAACTCAGCATTTTTTTTTTAATATTTAGCTAGTTGAAACTTACTAACAGTTGATTGCTCTTTACTTTTTTTGTGATAGGATGAGGTCATTGCAGCTTCGAAAAGGATAATTATCCGTCTACAAGATTTGGTGAAATGGGTGTGCACTGAGAGTTCACAATGGACCACAGATACTGAGGAAGAGAAATCCAGCATTATTGATTTGCATTGCAGTGACTGCAAGGAGGACCCCGAGCTGAACATCACATCACCTTCACGCTGCTGCCCCACCTCAAACAGTGTGGAAAATGAATTTGAAAGTTCAGGTGAGGATTTGTCCAGTTGGTGGTGCCTGAACTTAATTTGTAAAAGAACTTGGAGTTAAAGCAGTCATCTGAGATTTACCTTTCTCTCCCCCCGGTCCTGTGAATTGTTGGATGCTGATATTCCTGCAGAGATCAGCTAACTTTTATCCACCTTTTGTGGAATTTGGCTTTTATATTGGCAGTAAGGGGGACTGAGTGAGGTTACTTAAAATGTCTGTCTTGGACACTGTTTGTTTATTTTCTGGGCTCCCTAATAAAACCTGCCCAGCTCCAGATCATCTTGTCATTAGGGCCTCCTCGCTGTCGCTGTGGCTCAAAATACATGTTCAATCTACAAACAAAACGGAGTAATTGGGAAACAGAGTGGTGTGGTGTATCAGGCAATGGTCTCTTTCATCTTAGCATTGCTCGGCTTTCACAAAAATCGAAGCCGACTGGAAAATTGCTGCAGTTCAGTGAGTGGGCATTGAGTGCAGACTCCCAATACACGTCCAGGGGACTGGCCAGTAATGTTGACCATCATGAAAACCCATTTCCTGTGGGATTAGTAAATCCTGTTGGAATGTATATGAAGTCCAATACCTGAACAGAGAGGTGTTTTTTTTGATTAATGTATGAGAACCCTGGCAGCACGGTGGCTCAGTGGTTAGCACTGCTGCCTCTCAGCGCCAGGGACCCGTGTTTGATTCCACCCTCGGGCAACTGTCTGTGTGGAGTTTGTACATTCTCCCCGTGGGTTTGCTCCGGTTTCCTCCCACAGTCCAAAGATGTGCAGGCTAGGTGGATTTGCCCACAGTGTTCAGCGATGTCTAGATTAGGGGGGGTTAAAGGGGGATGGGTCTGGGTGGGATGCTCTGAGGGTCAGTGTGGACTTGTTGGGCTGAAGGGCCTGTTTCCACACTGTAGGGATTCAATGTTCTTTGAACCCTGGGGTAATAAGGGGCTTATTCCTTAGTTGTTGCCATACTTGCCACTAAGCACAGTGCTTGGATTGTAATCGAGCAATTGCTAAATTTTAAAGCGGAACACAGCCTTGTTGTGGACTGAAACCTTGAATAATAAGTGCAAGAATTAATGTTGAAAGGATCCTGGATTCAAATAAACCTGGCCTTGGGCAATGCTGACCTTCGGAGCCTCACAGTTGGAATGCATCTTTGTTGAGTAGGTGAGCTATGTTTGTTTCACGCTGGAAAGTCCTTTCTGGCTAAAACCGGGAGCTTGAAAAGAGCAGCAAGTCCTTTTATGACTTTTCACCAAGCCCCTGCAAGATGCTGTTGATTTTTACCGAAGTAGGGCAAGGAGGCAGGCCCCTAGGTTCACCTCAGTGGCAGCAAGATTGAATCCTGTGCGGTTAGTGTGAATTGCCCTGTGTACTAATTGTTTCACCAGCTGACCTCTCTACAGTGGCCCTACAAAGAGGGATTGAAACTTTGAGCAGCTTTAGTGATGTTTCAGGGATAAGTCTGGATAAGAAATGCCTACAAACCCAGAGGGATGAATTTGGGCTTGATCTGTGCATTAATTCCTTGCAGTGATTTTTTTTTTTTCATTTGCAACATCTCCACTCAGTACCTTGTGGGATTGCAAAGTAACATAAAACATCTTCAGGCAGTGATGGATACAATGTACAACTAATGCTGATGTTTCACAGGATCACAGTGTAGAAGATGGACAAGGGTTCTTTTTATCAGTGGTGCATATTTTAGCTTTAAGAAAGTGTCTCCAGTTTAAACACCTGTGATAGTAAATAACATTAATTTGCCAGCTCTTCAGGATCATGAATAGAACCTCATTATGAGTCACTTTCTACTTGTTTTGGTTAGTTTATAATATTTATATGAAGGATCAAGTATTTACTTCTGAGGTTGAAATAGTAGACATATGAATCATGCTATATTCTCAGGCTGAATTCTTTTGACTTTCTGTCCTATTTTAGTATTTTTTATTTGCATATGGAAGTTGAAAGATGGTTAAGATTATTAGATGACTAAACTTCACTGTGTTTTACCTTATTCAATGTACTTCAATTTAGGTTAGAAGAACTTCCCTGATGTCGATATACATACACACAATGAAGTTTGTCATGTGAGGGGCTCTTGTTTATTTTCTTAGTAATTATCAATTGTGTAATCCACCAGAGACAGTTCCCATGAGAAGAAAAGAGAGGGAAAAACCAGAATTGTTGCATTTAAAATAGATTTGAGATGATGATTCAGAAATTGACTGTGTGGCTGATGAAGAAGAAAGCTGCAGACTGCAGGAAGATGCGAATGGATTAGTCAGATAGGCAAAACTATGGCAAATGGAGTTCCGCCTAAAGAAATGAGATAATGCATATGAGGAGGGCTAACAGAGCAAGGAAGTACATCACGAATAGTAGGATACCAAGAAGTGTAGAATAACAGGATCTTGGAGTACATGTTCACAGATCCCTGAAGGAGACTGGTCAATGGTATGTTTGCCTTTATTTCCGAAGCATAGAACAGTCAGAGCTGGGAGGTTATTCTAGAACAGAATAAAAACACAAGTTATACTACAGCTGGCTTACTTTATGCACTTCTGACCAGTGCACTGCAGGAAAGATGGTTGCGTTTGAGAGTACAGAGGAGATTTAGGAGAATATTACCTAGACTGAAGCATTTTAAGTTATCAGGAAATATTGGATTGGCTAGGATTGTTCTCTTTGGAACAGTGGCGACTGTCAGGAAATTTCATTGAGGGGGACTAAATAATGTGGTCAGGAAAGCCCTCTGCTGCTTGGTTGAATAATCCATAACAAGAGGCAGAGATTCAGGGAAAAGTGAATGTGGTTCAGGGGGATTTGAAGGAAATTTTCTTCCACCTGAGGGTGGCGGAAGCGTGGAACTCCTTGTCTGAAAGTGTGGTAAAGATAGAAATCGTCATCGTATTTAAAAACTACTTGGGTCTGCACTTCAGTGTCTTAACCTTCAGACCAATATCTGGAAAGTGCATTACTGTCTGATTTCTCAAGTCTTTTTTGGCACTGGGGTGTCGGTGGGGGAGAATCTCCACAGTAGAGTGTGTGTGTGTGATTGCACATTAGCAAGCTGTAAATTTCTCATCGGTTTGCCTTGGAGACTTAATGCTGGTATTCCTTTCACATAGGATGCTTGGCTGACTCCAAGAGTTAAACAAGGGATTTGTTCACAGTAAGATTTGATTTTACATAGAGCAGGCCATCAGACCTTTTGTATGTCAGGGTACTGTTGTCTAAGGGCCTGAAAGGGTTAATACTGGGGAGTGCCTTAAGCACCACTCACTGTGGTGGTATCATAGACTTGGTGGGGGGAAAGTTTACGTTTTTGGATTAAGATCTACCATCCAGGCACTCCTCATTATTACGTATATTGTGGTGATAGAAAGTAAATATAACTTATCCTTATTGGCTAATGTGCAATGAATTATTTTGTGCTTGAAGTAAGGACCACTTCTAAACAGAGTAGCAAGTGGTCTACTTTTCACATGCCACACTAAACGGGCCATGAGGAATGCTACCTGAAAACAAAGTGGTGGCAGTAAACGTACTGAATGGTGAGCTATAGTGCAGATAGCCTCAAACATAGTGGTCAGCAGTGAAGATTGCTCATATAGTAGGTATCTGTTCCAGATTAATTTTATTGAGTTGGTATTTCTGTATTTTGCAGTAATAATGACAGCAAAACTGTCATGCATCATAGAGTAAACTTCTCTGGGACCAATAGCAACTGCTGAAATCTATATCTTGTAGCTATTGTCATAGAATCATAGAATTTACAGTACAGATAGAGGCCACTTGACCCATCGAGTCTTTACCAGCTCTCTAAAGAGCTAGTCCCACTCTCCAGTCCTGTGTCAGTCATAATACACTTCATTATGGGCTTCAACAGTAATTTGATATTGTCAAAGATCGCTTTCAATACTCACCCAATCCAAATTTGTTCATTGTCATAAAATCTCTCATTTCTAATTTTTATGAAAGTTTACAATACTGTTGTTTATATCTTAATTGCTTGCTGTTGCCCAATCATTTGTTTAGTTCTCTGTAATTAAAAGTGAATGCAAATCACAATTTTATTTCCTGGTTTGCTGTCTGAGAGAAGTGTTACAATCGATTGACTGATTGTCCTGCTTGATAATGTCACTGTAGGATGGATGGAGACCATCTTGACTTGGTGCCAGATTCAGGCTGATGTCAGGGAAGAGGGAGTTAATGCCACAGAAATCGTTAGATCTTTGAGGCATCTGGCAAATGCTGTTGCTTCCCTGCTGTCTGTGATATCCAAGTCAATGTTTGCTTTTATTAAAACAAAGGTTTCTTTGGATGAGCAAGTGTGGGGACTGTGTGCTTCTGATGTATCAAACAAAAAAAAATCAGATGAAGGTATAATTTCTTCCCCAGTGCTGTTTCTTCAGTATAGTAACGTCACTCACCCAGGTATGACTATTTGTAAGTGGTGGTCACCTTGCGTTTTTGAAGAGAACATGACAGACTCAAATAGTTTTGTTTTCGAGTTTCAGTTCTCTAAGATAATACTATAAAAAAGCATTGGGAACTAGAAATAAGTTCTTTACACACAGACGGGGTGGAATGATAGATTCACTGCCACACATATCTGAAACTACTCTCAGGGCTTCAAAGGCTGCTTGAGAAAAAGGGGACATTGAAGAGAGTTGTTAACAATTTGGAACACCTGTCTAGATATAATGGTACAATGCATTTTGGAAGGTTGAGTAAATAAATTGAAAAATTTGAGATCTTGCACACTGTTACAGATAGCTAGCTTAAAAATGGTGAGCTGAACAGCCTCCTTTGCTGGAAATGTATCATCCTTTGGAAGAGGAAATGTGTGTACACGTGGGATTAGACTAGATGACTCATTTACCAAAAAAATCAGTGCCGATTTCATGGACTGTTTCCCTGTAGTTCCAAATGCCTACCATCTGTGCCTGTGTGAACTTCACTTTAGAATAGCTGAGTAAAGCTGCACATTAATCGCATCAACCCAGCCTTTACCCATACAGTTTAGACAGATGTGGAATCTAATGTTACATTTCCCTTTGTTCTGTGTTAAGCAGTGATTCATTATCATTGTGAAATTGATTTCTCCTGATCTCTATACTTCATCTCTAGAACAGCGAAATGCCTGTGATTCTTGTCGAAATTCCTGCAGTCTCTTTCTTGCTGAAACAAATTGTTACTGATGCATCTTGAGCAGGAAGTCAAATAAGCTTGACTGATGAATGCTGTGAATCATTACCCTAATTGCTTCAGCTCCCACCTCCCCACTTTTTAAATGATCTATTCCCAAAATAATAATGCCTCGCTTGTGCCGAGTTTATTAAATTTTCTAGTGAAACATTGCATCCCTGTTAGCACCATCCGTGCCCATTCTCAGTTTGCAGCTGTCTTCAGTATTTTCGCCGGCTTTTTTTTTTTTGGAAACATTTAGATCAGTGATTTGTTGCCATTACTCCTTGCGTTTCTTTTAATGCGTTTAACCCTTTATGTTGCCGCTGGCCTTTTATAATTTGCAACCTTCTGTCTTTCTGTCAATTTTTTTTTTTTTTTTTGTTTTCCTTTCCTCCTTGAGGATGCACTTGGGATAGTTTTCTCCCACTTTTTTGTTTAAGTTGTTATTCCTGTGTGACTCTAGATGTTTGAGTGGTGGCTGGTAATTCGATGATTCCATCAGCTATTACCCTTCAGAGGTTGTCTCTCACCCACACCCACTAGAAATGCAAAACCTCATCTAGCGTTCAGTAAGCCCATGTGCTCCAGAGGTGTGTAATAGCATCTCCTGAACAGGTTGATTTAGAAAATATCTATTAAAATGTGTAGCAGGGCAAAAATAGAAGTTTTCTCGTGCAAAAAGACTTTAATCTTCTACTGAGAGTCCAAATACCCGACTATGTCAGCACAAATACCAAAGTACATGTTGTACCTCCAAGGTATAAAACACCCATGGAAGCTGCTACCTCAGAATTTGGTAGGTTACTTTTCCAAGAAAAGATTGGACAAGCTAGTCTTGTATCCACTAGAGCCTAGAAGTGGAAGAGATAACTTGATTGAAACAATTAAGAGCCTGAGGGGGCTTGACAGAGAGGGACATGGGAAGGTGGTTTCCTTTTATGGAAGAATTTTGAATGAGGGGTCATTTTAAATAATGAAGTGTCATCCATTTAAGGCTGGGATGAAGCAAATTTTCTTTTCGGGGTTGAGTCTCCTTTGAACTTCCTCCCTTAAATGGTAAAGGTCAAAAATCGCATGACACCGGATTACAGTCCAACAGATTTGTTCAAAAATGCTAGCTTTTGGAGCTCTGCTCCACACTATGCCTGAGGACGGAGCAGAGCTTGAAAGCTAGTGTTTTCAAATACACCTATTGGCCTATAATCTGGTGTGGTGTGATATTTGACCTTTTCCACCCCAGTCCAACACCGGCACCTCCAAGTCCTTAAATGGTAGTTGAAGCCAAGTCTTTGAATGTTTTCAAGGCTAAAGTAGACCGATTCCTGATAAGCAAGAGGATGTAAGGAGTAGGGGCAAATTACTGCAGAAGCTGGAATCTGTACTGCAAACAACAAATGCTGGAGACTACAGCAGGTCAGAAAGCATCAGTGGACAGAGAGCAAGAGGAGTCTAGATGACTTCATCAGAGCTGAAATGAAGTGTGGAGGGGACAGCATTTATGCCATAGTTGGGGGAGGGATGTAGAGTAGGTTGGATTGTGGAGTACCCGAATCAGCCGCGATTTTATTGAACAGGCTTGAGAGTCTGAGTGGCTATCTCCTGGTCCTAATTTGTAAGGGTGAGGTGGGGGAAGAGCTTGATTCCAGTCTCTCTCCAATAATTGTGTTTTGTATTTAACATTCTTAAGCTGCTGTTCCTTCAGGGAAATTTGCTGTGGATCACGCTGGTGCTCACCAACATGCTTATTTTACTAGCCACCTTTTTATTGTACTAAAATTAGCAATTCAGTTAAAATTTACATTAAAATAATTAGTTTTTCTAGTTTTGCTGTGCTTATTATGATGCTGTTTATTATTACAATTGGTGTTCAACTTGCCCTGATTGCAATTCCTTAATTTAGATGAGGTAAATTGTCTTTTGCTATTATGGCACTGAATGAGGTATTGGTATGCTTGTGCTCTATCTCATGAGGCTGTTGTTGAGATTGTGTAATGAACTGTTCCAAGCCAGTCTCTGGTATTACCAAAGAAACCACATTGTGTTTTAGGGTTTAAAGATGATCGACCACGAGTGAAAATACTAAGCTACCCCCAGTACTGTCGCTATCGAGCCATCCGGAAGAGAATTCAGAAAGCATCTGCTGACTGTGTCAGTGAAGCTCAGCTACTGGCTCTTGGAGGAATTCTTCTGGTTAACCAAAACACCAAGATTCTTTACTGCCGGGAAACATTTGAACACCCAACGCTGGGGGATAACAAATCCATATGTGATGAGTTTGGTGAGTTATGGAAGTTTGCCATCTTGTTGCCTGTAGAAGCTTGTCTGCTTGTTTTCTTTAACTGATAGTTTAGTACTCTTATTCCTTTTAATATGAATTGCAACCTCATTATGCAATGTGGAATTGTCAGTTTTAAAATAAAATCCTGTGTCTTGTAATTGGAGAATATGAGCTCGCAGTACTAGACCCTGCCATATGTCTAAGGAAACACTGATAACACAGAGAGAGAGGATGTCTGAATGGCGGTACAGGTTACAGGAAACATTGTCCCTATGGTTGCTCAGGGACTAGTGATAGGAAACATTGTTACGATGCTTTGTTGTTTGTACAAAACCATTAAAAGTGTCGTCACAAAATTTTATGGATGGAAAGTATGCCTGGTATTGTTACAAACAGAAAACAGAGGCTAGCCAAGATGCATGGTTTTCCTTTATGCTAACGTTCAGTATTTCTAAGATTTAAACTGATTCTGAGATTAAATTTTGTTGTGACTTAAAGGTGTTTGGGATTTTATTGGATGTGGGATTCCTCCACTCAATCCAGTATAATATTAGAGGAAGAGTGGTTACAGAAGCAACTTGTGTTCTCACGGCGTTTCCCCAGTTTATTCGTTGAAAGTGAGGAGGAGACCCACCGTAGAAAGTTTTTCCCCTCTCTTAAGGTGAACCTGAATGGAATTGTGAGGTTGTAAATGGCAGAGTCCTTTTGTGTGTTGGAATTTGGGAAAAACATGTGATTTTTGTGTCCTCTTTAGCACCTCGTGTTTTGACACGTACTTCAGCTGGGAGAGTGGTCCGGACAAGGTTACAAATCACTGCACAGCCGCGATCACTGACCTTACTACATCTTCATTTGGCAGGAGGTAGGCTTGCCATTTTTGTCAAGTTGCACAATACGACACTTCCTTTCAGTTGTTCTAAACTGAAATACTTTATTTCTTTCTAACAATCGTGAAATAAAAATTGATGAGGGAATTCAAAATGTGCTTGGAGTGTGCAGGCATTTTGACCAGTGGCTAAAGGCTAGGAAATGAATGCCTTAACTCAGTGCTGCTAATAATGTGACCCAGGGAATCACATGAGATCCATTTCAGCTTGTGACTCTTGAGCTGTGGTTTCCCTTTAGGAATCTAGAGGTACTATTTTTCGCCTGGCTGTGAAATGTTACCAGACCCAGAACTGTCTCTGTTCCTTTTCCCTCTCATATTCATTTTGTGAGGGGATAAAGAGATGCTGTTGGGAAAAGTAATCTACTGCATAACAACGTAAATCTGTATAGCTCCTTCAAAGTGGCAAAGGGCCCAAGTCTCTTCAAAGCTGTATTATCAGACAAAATTTGACGTTGAGTTTTGGGCAGGGAGATCCAATTTCTTGGGTAATCCAGTACAGTTATGATTTAAATGTGTTGCTTGGTAAAAGTGACAGTGAATTTCTACAGGCCAGGTAACTTCAGCTCCTCATCTTTATAATATCAGGAGTCGCAGCTAGAGGAATGTGCAAACAGAAAATGTTATTTTGTCTCAGCAGCCTGGATCTGAAGAGGGAAAAGTTCTTGGTGTCAATACGCTGCCTATCAATCTGGGAAAGGAGGTTGCAATACATTAATAGAACTGTTCCGTTTCCTTCCTGAATTGTTTCCTGTCTTTTCTTCCTCTTATATTCTTCGTACATTTAGCAGTCCTGAATGCTTGACTTTACCCACCTGAAAGCACAGCTCCATGCAACTGAAATCAGTCAACCCATGCTCACTTCCAACATGGGCCCCTGTGGCACCAGCACTTGTCACATGCTGCCAACCTGAAAATGACCCACTAATGCCCCACCTGTTTCCCATTAACCAACCAATCCTCTATCCATTCTGTTACCTCTACACCAGGAGCTGTTATTTTGTGAAGTGACCTTTGTTGTGACACTTGGACAATGCCTCCTGGAAATCTAAATACAGTACATCCACTTCTTTCCCTTTATTTATGTTACTCATCACGTCATCAAAGAACATTTTTGTTAACATTTTTTTCATCTCTCTTCCTGTACAAGCTTGAAAGTTGTTGCAAGCTTATTCTCATTCTGTTTTCTCCATTTTTTTTTTTCCCTTACCCTTTGCTGGTTTGTAAGCTCTCAAATCCTTAAGCTTATTATTACTTTTGCCAACATTTTAAGCCCATCTTTTAACCCAGTACCACTTGATTGTAGTTGCACTACTTTTCCAGTTGGATTTTTTTTAATTGCTCATGGGAATGACACTCAATTAGGCAGAAAGTGACGTAGTGAGGATGTTGAAGACTATCTTCAGAAGGACTGTGTAGTGGTTGCATCAGCAGATGCTGTCATTGACAGACCTATCTGCAGCAGGCAAATGGATGTAGTAGCTATGTCCTTTAGAACTTCACCAGCTTATTCAGTTTAGAAGCTCCTGAGCCACTCTTAGTGGTGGACATTGAAGTCCCCAAGCCAGAGTACGTTCTATGCCCTTGCCACCCCCAGTGTTTCAACATAGAGGACGACTGATTCATCAACCAAGGTGTCCTCATTTGGGTCTGGAGTCAATGTTGAGGGCAGCTCCTTTTCACTCTACAACTGTGCTGTCACATCTGCCGAGTCTGTCCTGCCAGTGGGACAGAGCGTGGCCAGAGGTGGTGGTGGTGTTGGGTCTTTGTGTGTAAGGTATGATTTCATGAGTAAAGCTGTTGCTTGACTAAATTGTGAGACAACTCTCCGATGAGCCCCCAGAGAGCTTTGCAGGTCATCGTTGTTTCCAATGCCTTTTCATTGCCAGGTGATCTGTCTGTCTGTCCTGAAACTTTCTGCAAGTGGTTATGATTAAATGCCTTACTAGGTCATGTCAGAGGCCAGGTAAGAGTCATCCACATTGCTGTGGTTCTGAAGTCACATGTAAGTCCATCGGTTGTTTCCCTCTATTCTATGCATGTTCGTGAGTCTATTAAATACCTTTTAGAGTTATCACACTGATGGGTGAGGGTTTCGGAAGCAGATGAGCTGAGGCAGGTGTAGAGTTTGGAGATGTTGGGGGAGTTAAAAATAAGATACAATCTAATATGATGAATAATAAACCTGGAAATATTTCTGTCCTGGCAAAGATATGCTAATTCTTGTCTATCTGATCCACATTTCTGAACTCCAGCATTGGTGCACCTTTGTTTTCTGCCTGTCCATGTAGTAGTGGTGAAATTAAACAGCAGGGGGCAGCATCTGTGCACTTGCAAAGAGGAAGAAGAGTCGTACTGAATAGAGCTCGTTCGACTTTTTTTTCTGCACACCACTTGATTGGGAAATGTTTGGCACAAAGGCAAGATTTTTAAGGCTTGAACCATCCTGCTCCGGTATCTGGCGTTCTTTAGTTTATTGCCAGTCAACCGGTTGTGGAGGGATTTCTAGCTCCCCCAACCCTTGCCAGCCTCTCCATAAATAAACAGTTCTGACTGAGTCTGCACACTGCTTTAAAATTGACCACCTGCTTCTGTCACAGAATGGAAACTGTGTGATCTCGCAGTGAATCTTAAATGTCGAGGAATGGTTTTCTCTGTTCTGAGCAGTGTTAGTTGAGAACAAGCGCATGGTTTATATCATCTTCAAAGAAATCACACGACACCAGGTTATAGTCCAACAGGTTTGTTTAAAATCACAAGCTTTCGGAGTGCTGTTCCTTCGTCAGGTGCTGTGGAGAATTACCTGGAATTATCTCCCCATTATCTCTCTGCCTATATGTCCTGTGCCTGGGCACCTCTCTCCATTTCACCTGACAAAGGAGCAGCGCTTTGAAAGCTTGTGATTTTAAATAAATCTGTTGGACAAAGCCTGGTATTGTGTAAGTTCTGACTGTGTCTGCCCCAGTCCAATGCAGGCACCTCCACATCTTTGTGGAAGACCAGTTGGGTAGTTATATTGTTGAACTGGGTAAAGAGAAGAACAGAATGTATCGTGCGGTTTCTGAGAGGATAAAATTAAATAGACAAATTGTGGGGGAGGAGAGAGGTAGGGCTATGGGGAGACTTGTGTTCAGCTGGATCCAAAATGGCATTTGTGCTGTCAAATTCTGGTAAATTCCACACTCTGACTTGGTTACATATGATGTAGAAACATACATTTCAATTTAGAAAAGCTGAGCAAATTTTCTCAAATCAAAAATGAAATCAGCAAAGAACAATTTAACAAGGGCAGCACTTCAAGATGAGTGAGAAGGGTCGAGATCTGAAACGTCAACTTTCCTGCTCCTCTGCTGCGTGGCCTGCTGTGTTCATCCAGCTGTACACCTTGTTACGTTACTTCAAGGTGAGTGATGTAGTTCAAATCTCCATTATCGCCAATTTCAGATCTTTCATTCGTCTTTCACTTTTTTTTTGCCCCTGACAACTGAGAGAATATAGCTGTGTGATCTAACCACATGTGGTTTCAGAAAACTGAAGGGCAAAATACTCAAATTTTGCAATGCAAAAGATGTCTGTCTGTTTCTCAAAAGAATGACCAATTGCCTCTTCCAGCTACGTGTGTATAGAGAAGTTAACTAGAAATTCTGAAACATTTTGCCCATCATATGACAAATGCCAAACTCGCCCAAATTGCTGACTGCTACATTTAAACAAATGCAGTTGACAGCTATATCTGAAGACTTCCAAAGTAGAAATGAAAAAAAAAAAACGAACTAAAGGCATGCACAAATGCTACAGAGAAATTTTGGTTTCATGGTTTGACTTCGAGTTGTGTTACACAGGGGGTTGGTAATGATTTGTGAAATGAAGCCTACAGTAAATGAGGTCACACAGCTGTGCTGTGATTGCCAGTCAGTCCTTTCTGCCTCTGGAATTTCCTTCTATGTGATGAGTTGAGCAAAGTGTGGTATCAGTTTGTGTGTATATTTCCCCCACAGTATATTCATTCTGGTGTACTTGCCAAATATAATCCTGGAGATTACATTGCTTCCGTTCATTGGACATTGGAGTGGCTCCTATCCATGTGAAGTACTTTTCAGTGAAATCATTAAATGGATTCTTGTTTGTTCACTTCTCCTTGGTTCTATAAATGCCTGCATTATAAATCTGTCCAAGACCGGCTGTTGCAGTTTTGCTCTATTGACATTATAGATCCTTTCATCCAAGCAGCATTACAAACTTTTTATCGCCATCACCATCACCAATTGCTATTTGTCAATAACTTGCTTTTTAATTTTTAAATCCTCCAGCATTAACATCTCTTCCCTTCTCTTTTTCTTTGAAAGTTTATCTCCATAACATCTCTCCTTACAAGTCAGTTTCTTCTTAAAATGTGATAAATCGATTCTCTGGCTTTTTCTTAACATGTTCAGCAGTTTTCTTTGTTCATTCAGTGTTCTCAGACTTGATCATTTGTTATTTTTTCTGTCCAATTAATGCTTCTATTCTTCTCCACACCCATATTTCAAAGCAGCTTCACAAGTTAGACTCTTTGTGTAAGGGCCAAGTGTCTTCTGCATCCAAAATAACACTTGTCACTTGTGTTATTTCTTCAGCTTACTAAATACATGCTTCACATTAACTATTCTTTTTCTTGTTTGTTACACCTTCCACCTGCGTCCTAAATATGTGAAGATATTAAATGACCTGATATTACACACCTCTGGAGCAGGTGGGACTTGAACCATGGCCTCCTGGCTCAGGGGTAGGGACACTACCACTACATCACAAAAACCCTAATTCCCAATACTAGAATGCTTACATTTGGCTCATTTCCTTTTATGACTGAATTTTTCAGTGAGTTGTTTTTTATTTTGAGGTATGAATCACTTTATTGGTTTTGCCAAATTTCAAAATGTTGCAAATCTTGTGGTTCTCTTTCTGTGTGTTTCTTACAAATGCTTCATCACCAAAAA